CGCCCCCTCCTCGGAGCCCTGGATGGAGGCACCACGGCCCCAGGGCTGAGCCAGGTAGGAGCTAAGCCGGGCGGGTGGAGGGGCTGCGTGGCTGTCCGCTGGGGTCTCCCACTCCCCATCTCTTTCTGCGCCTGGTTCCCCCCAGCCTGCCTGTCTGCCTGTCTCCGCCTAGGGATGCTCTCCCGTGTCTCTCCGTCTCAGTCTCTTTGTCTCTGCCTCTCTCCAGCCCATGAATGATCCTTTGAATGGGCCCACAGACCCCGTGTGTTCCCATCTCCCCTCCCCCTCCTCCCCTTCCCGGCCAAGCCATTTTCCCCCACTGCAGGGAGAGGGGGGGCTGCGGCCTGAGCCCCTGTCCCTCAACTCTTCCCGGTTGGGGGAGTCAGGCCTGGTCAGGGATGGAGAGAGCAAGGCAGAGAAATAGGAGGGGGGCGGGGGGGGGGGAGACAAGATGTGGCAGACAGAAAGGAGAGAGAAGGGGAGAGGAAATGGGGGAGACAGAGATGGGGAAAGAGGAGGAGAGAGAGAAATAGAGAAGGCTTGAGGGAGAAATTTGGGGAAGGGGTTTGAAGGAGAGAGGAAGATGAGAAGCACTAAGGAGGGAGATGTAGAAGAGAGTGATGAAAGAAGACAGCGTGAGACTGAAGACGAGAGCTGGAGCAGTGGGGACGAGGCTGGGAGAGCTGCTCCGAGGGAGTGCTCCGGAGAGGAAAGAGATGGGGGGGCAGAGGGAGGGAAGAAGGGAGAGAAGCTGGCAGGGAGAGGGCCAGGGGCCCAAAGTACCTTCAGGGAGGAGGGGTGACAGGCAGATAGACTGAGTTAGTAGGAGGGGGAGGGGTGGCAAGGCCATGGAAGCAGAGCCCAGACTGGCATGGGCAGAGGAGACCCTGAGGGAGCCAGCCCCAAGCCCCCTCCAGGTGATGGGGGAACAGGAGCTTTGGAGGAACTGAAGAGGGGGAGGGCATGACTAGGTGTGTGTGGTAAGGATTCCTGTGTCCTCATCTCTGGAATAAATTGACACCTGCAGAGAGCCACCCGCGGGCTGGCGCCTGGCTCTGAAAACCCCGCGTCAGCAAACAGCTCTGGCAGCTGGGGGGGGCGGGGGGGGGCTGAAATGACCCTTCAGTCTGATCTCTTCCCTTGCCCTGCTCCTCTGCCCTGAGCACTCAGGCTTCAGAGCAGCATCTGTGGGGAACTGGCAAGGGGAAGGGCAGGTGAATAGCTGAGATGGATGAGGAGAAAGCCTGGGTTTGCCCCCAGGACATGGGTCAAAATGCCATGCATGAGAGAAGTGCCTGTAGTACTAGGCTGTTCAAGACTTGGGGGGGGGGGCAGTCAGTGGGTACATGTGATGGCCTCCAAACCCACCTCAGCACCCCTTCTACCCAGCCAGAGGCCTGGTCACTAGGACTAGGCTCTGATTGGCCAACAAGGGCCAAGAGGCGGGTCCTTTAGGGTTCTTTAATGCCCCCAATCTTCTGCTCCCCTCAACATATATACTTCCTCCTCTGTGCTAAGGTTTGGGGACACTCTAGCATTCTGATTCCTGCCTCTGCCCTCATGGCCAGAATGGACCCCATAACCAAGCCAGTCCATTACCCCAAAATGCCATGCATGAGAGAAGTGCCTGTAGTACTAGGCTGTTCAAGACTTGGGGGGGGGGCAGTCAGTGGGTGCATGTGATGGCCTCCAAACCCACCTCAGCACCCCTTCTACCCAGCCAGAGGCCTGGTCACTAGGACTAGGCTCTGATTGGCCAACAAGGGCCAAGAGGCGGGTCCTTTAGGGTTCTTTAATGCCCCCAATCTTCTGCTCCCCTCAACATATATACTTCCTCCTCTGTGCTAAGGTTTGGGGACACTCTAGCATTCTGATTCCTGCCTCTGCCCTCATGGCCAGAATGGACCCCATAACCAAGCCAGTCCATTACCCTCTTCCTCCAGACCCGAACCCCCCCCCCCCCCCCCCCCGCAGCCCGTTGCCGAGGTAACATTGCGGGGCAGCATCCCTGTCGCTGGGCAACCGGCTGCAGGATCACGCATCTGTCCCTGGATTTGCCCCCACTCCATCATCCCCTCCCTATTCTAGCCCCTGCCTCAAGGCATCGTAACTTCTGAGGGAAGAAATGGAGAGAGCCTGGGGAAAGGATCCCCCCCCCTCCCCCCCACCATGCACAAATGCCTAGGGAATGGGGTGCTGAAGGCAGGAGAAGGTGCTGGGCTTGTGCAGTCCCAGGAAAGATCGGGAGTCTGGCCTAGGGTGGGGGGTCCAGTGCCATGAAGTCACAGCTCAGGAGTAATTAACACGTATAAACAAACCCTCCACTTCCTGCTAATTAATGACTTGGTATTTTTATTTTCTCTTCCTTGTCTATCTCATCTCTCCCGGGGAGGTGGGAACAGGGACTCTGAGTCCCTGAGGAGAGCCTCCTGGTTGGGATCAAGCGGCTGGAAGGAGGCAGGCGGGGTCTGGGGAGCTGCCCGTCCTGCCCTCTGCTTGTGTCCTGGACTTTTACCACATCTTGACCTGACCCCCAGCCTCAGACTTTTCTATCTGGGTCCCTGCTGATGGAGGGGGGCGTTAGGGTGGGGAGACGTGCTGGGGGGCCTGAGGGTGGAAGAAGGGGGTCAACCAGTCTGAATTCCAAGCCACTAACCACTTGTCTCTTGTTTCCCCATTCCTTTCTGTCTGCCCCTCTTCCCTTCCCTTCTTCCACCTCTCCCGTGTATGTTTCTGTCTGTCGGTCTGTCTGTATCTTGCATACCCTCTCCCTTACACCCACAGGTCCAGCCTGCATTCACCTTCTCCCACTTCCTTCCCCTTCCCTATCCCTTACCCCCTCCATGGAAAGGAACAGACCCCTTCTCTGTCCAGTCTAACCCAGGTCCCTTTCCACTCCCCTTCTCCCTCCTTTCCCACCCCCTCCTCCCTCCTGGGGCGAGGGGGGGCCTCCCTCCCTCTCCCCCCCCTTCTCTCTCTCTCCGAGGGGGGGGTCCCGGGGAGGGAGGGGGGGTCCCCCTATCAGCATGTGGCTCCTGGCGCTGTGGCTGGTGGGGCTGGTGGGGGCT